TTGTTTATCATTTTTATATTGTGGCATATAATTCATGGGATCTTGTCAAGTGCATTGTGAAACAGTTAATAGCGTGGATTATGGTAAAATACGTAATAGGGTACATAATTTTCTATTTGTAATTTTCAGAATGAAAGTTATTAAGCTCAAATTTTCTTGTCTGCAGGGGCAATTTTAAGTGTCTTATACGATGCAGCACGTTCCAACAACTATTGAGGAACAATTAATACTGAAGGCAATAAAGGAAGAATGTTCATGGGAGAATCTACCTAAACGACTTCAAGCAACCCTTGGTTCCAAAGAGGATTGGCACAGAAGGTTAGGATGATTCTTGTTATTGTCATTAAATGTAAGAAGCTATGTAATTCGGGTTCTAGCTTTTGACTTCCGACTGACATGATTTTAAGGACAACTTGTCACTTTGTTGAATTTTCTTTGTTTTGGGTTCACATCTCCTTCACTTCTCCAGAGATGACCTTTTTATCTCACAGTTCTTCTTCTGGTGTTGTTGTGATCTCTTGCAGGGTCACTGAACATTGCATTAAAAAAAGACTCCAATGGAACACATGTTTTGTTCGCAAAGTGTGCAAAGAAGGTGAATATTATGAAGAGATGATGCGTTACTTGCGAAAGAATCTGGCGGTGCGTGTTATATGGAAAGTTTTTAAGAGGCCCATCTTATATGAAAAGAGTGCTGGATCGTCTAAAAAGTTCAATTTTGCTAGCAATATATTTATTTGTTTTAAAGTGACCAAAATTCTCTGTTGGAGGTTTATCTCAAAGGCACATTGGCTCTAATTGCAATTTTGAGTTTATCTCCTATAGATTTTTATGAGAGGAAAAATTTCAAAATTTATTTTGGATTGTACCGTAACTTTGCCATTATAATGAAACAAAATGTGAACATATGATACAAAAATGAAGATCGGTCTTGCAAAGCAGATACTATGTCTCTGGATTGCTGCATGCTAAAAGAACTAAGCTAATATATAACATTTTTTGCCTAGCATAGCTTCATGATTTAGGTATCGAGTGAGAATTTTAAATACATAAGACTTAGAAACTGAGAAGTTTGAATGCCTAACACATGGTGAGTGGGATGTTTAATGCATAAGACAACCTAGTGTCAACACTTCTATTTTATTCACAGGTCCTCTGCAGTTTACTCTGTTAAGTTCTTACTTGCAGCTGTTTCCTTATCATCTTGCGGAGTATGTTTGCCGTGTAATGAGGATATCGCCTTTCAGATATTACTGTGATATGATATTTGAGGTTATGAAAAGTGGTAATATTTCAATTATTTTTTTGAGAAATTTAGAACAAGTTACTTATAATGCATTTATGTCATGTATAGCTCATTAATTTTGTATCTTGGAGTTTTGCTAGATCTATTATGTCTATCCTTTGTTGGCCTCTCTTCTATGTAATCCTGTTTTGATCTGCTGAAAGAAATGTGATTCTGCTTGAAGTAAATTGCTATATCTGTCTGCCTACCTGTTAGTTTTACAAAAATTTATGATAAAATAAACATGTTGGTGTAATATCTTGAATTTGCATCATGCTTGTCAGTTGTAGTATATTGATTATTGCATACATGCTTGTTAGCTGTAATCTTTTGATTTCTGGATTGGTGATCTCCCCCTTGCTATTCTTTTCCCTTGCCTTTATAGTCTTTCTTTTCACCATCGCACCCTCATATGCCATTTTACCAGATGGATGGGTGAATCTCCTAGAATCTCTCTTTCTGCGGGGACTGCAATGATTGTGAGTATGAAAAATGATTTCCTTGGTCAATATTCTTGAGTCTTTTTGTCCCCGTCACTTCCGGATGGTAGAATTTGGTTATTGGAGTCCTCAAATTTGTTTTCATGCAAGTCTCTTTTTCATCTCACATTCTCCCCCCGCCTCAATGGGACTTTTAGTCGTGTTTTCTTATTGTCCAATTAAAGATACTATTTGGCTTCATTATTTTAGACTTTGACACCCATTTTTTGGACTTTTAAAAAGAATGTTTCCTTCTTTACTTAAAGGACTGATTGTTGACTATTTGCATTGTGATGTGTGTGAAGTTGCAAAAGACAAAAATGCCTTTTCAATCAGTAACCAATGCACCCTTTTCAACCGGTAACCAAAGAAGTTCAGTCATGTTTTACTCGACCCACATAATATCTAGGGATCCTCTGCAGCTCTAAATGTATCTAGAACACAACGGTTAGTCTCTTTTGTTTTTGCTTTAGTGGCAAAAAAGAATATTATGAAAGATTTTACAATCTTAGTGGCTGAAGAGTTTGATGTAAAAAATACTTCCTTCACAACAATTTGGAGGAAGAGCTGTACATGGATATAGAGAAAACTAAGAGACAACAGAATGTGCAGATTGAAGAAGCATTACTGGTCTAAAGCAATTGCCAAAGGCTTGGTTTGAAAGATTTGCCAAACACATGGTACAAATAGTCAATTTGATCATACACCCTTTATAAACTTCTTGGATTTAGGAGTCATGGCATCTCTCTTGATGTATGTTGATGACATAATTGTAATAGGAAATGATGAGAAAAAGAATAAAGCATGAGAAGGTGTCTAATAAGAGAATTCGAGGTAAAAGAACTTGAGAGACTAAAGTGTTTATGAATTGAAGTAGCTAATTTGCAAGAAGAAATTTTTATCTCGTAGCAGAAAGTATGTGATCTATTTCCTAAAGGATGACAGGAAAATTAGCATGCGAACCTATCTCCACCACACTTCAGCAAAACACAAATTGGGAGAGGTAAAAGGAAGATTAGGCTGTGGATAGAGAGATGTATCAAGCACTTGTAGAAGAACTTACATATCTTGCTCATATAAGGCCAGATATTGCATATGACTTGAGCATGGTTAGCCCATTTATATGCATAGCTCAATAGAGATTCACCTCTTTTGTAGTCTACAGTATACTACATTAGGTAAAGGCTAATCAAGATGAATGAATTATATTCAAAAGAAAGCACTAGATTAGTCTCTGGGACATACATCAATGTAAATTATGTAGGTTCACTAGTTCATAGACGGTCTATTTCTGGTTATTGCACTTTCTTATGAGGAAATCTTGTGCACTGGGGATAAGAAGCAAAATGTGCTAGCTAGATTGAGCACAGAGGCAGAGTTCAAGATCATGACACAAGAAGTGTGTAAATTATAATAGCTCAAAATAATTTTGGATGATCTAAGGATCAAATGGGAAGGACCAATAAATTATTTTGCAACAAGTCTGTTATTGAGATTGTTCACAATCCTGTTTAATATTACAGAATGAAGAACATTGAAGCACATAAGCACTTCATAAAGGAAAAGTTGAATAGTGAACTTATTTGTATTCCGAATGTCTCAACTCATGGTCAACTTGCAGATATGCTAATGAAAAAACTCAGTGGTACAATGTTGTCGATTGGAAATGAAAAATTGCATAGTTACTAGCTTGGGGGGGAACATTAGAAAATTCATCAATTTTTTATCTTAATATTCAGAAATTAGTCATCCTTAAATTATGGGATATCAGTTATGGAATCCCACTGATATGAAGATTTGGTTTGCTGTAATTAGTTTCTTATTTTTTCTCTTTGTAAAAGCTATATTCACCTATATATATGCTCTTTCTCAATGTACAAGAAATTTGGTTTTGCTCTAAATTCCTCATCATTTACTTGCTTCATGTTTTTGCCAGTAAATTATCTTTCTCATTTATTTCCTATTATGACAGAGCAACCTTATGACAGCATTCCGAATTTCAGTGCTGCAGATGCATTTCGGCTTACAGGGATAGGAAGAAACGAATTTATTGACATCATGAACAAATGTAGATCTAAGGTACTGGATTATGTTGGCTGCGTGTTTATCTAACAAACTGTGGCTCTTGTTTGATGGATAGTAAAGAATGTCCATGTAACATAGCCATTAGCCTAAAGTGTTTCATGCAATTTGTAATATGAAATTCTATCTATTGCGTGTATACCATTATTTGAAGTTAGAAAAAGATGTGTGTGAGAAAATAATATTTAAGCTGATCCGGATGTCATAATGTTTAGTAATATGCACTTTCATATGTTGCTATGCTGCAGTTTAAATGTTTAGATTTGACTTTCTGCAGAACAAATCTGATTGTTTTGCAAAGTTAATGGTGTGAAATTGGTTACAGTCCTTTGCAATAAGCTTTATACAATTTTCATGCATGCAAGGAAAACTCTTATTGGATCACCACATAGGTTCTCTTTCTGTATTTTGATTTTTTCTTGTAAAATTTACTTATGCATCTACGTGGGACAGAATTCTATTTCATTCCTTTTTTTTCCTTTTCGGGAGAGGAAGAGGAATACATAGACAAGGCACCAAAGGGGTGCTACTGATCTATAAAAAGCTGGCCACAAGCTCCTGTCTAGGAACTTGATGCAGAATGGGTTAGCATTAGATTTCCTAAATAAATCAGAAATTGTAATTATATTAAATGTAAACCAGTTATACCATTTAGAACTCTAGTACTATATTATCTACGAGTATTCTTTTTAGGATTTATATTTTTATTAGTCCTAATATTATTAATATTAGTTTCTTATTTTTATTAGGATTAATATTCTTAATTTTATTAGAATACTATTTCCTAATTTAACTCTGATTAGAGAAAATTACTTAGAGATTATTATAAATAGTTTTGTAATTTCACTTATTGATCATTCAAGTTATTTAGTGATACTTGGAGAGCTTATTAGTTTTCTGATTGTGTCATATAATCAAACTCTTAAATGTGATGTTTGAGACTTCTTGAGTGTAATGTCTAATTACTTAGAAATTATTAGAAATAGTTATGTAATTTCACTTATTGATCATTCAAGTTATTTAGTAATACTTGGAGAGTTTATTAGTTTTCTGGTCGTGTCATGTAATCAAACTCTTAAATGTGATGTTTGAGACTTCTTAAATGCGATGTCTAGGTTTTTATTTTTATTAACATTAGTATTCTTAATTCTGCTATATTACTATTTTCTAGTTTAATTCTAATTAGGAAAAGTTACTAATAACTTTTTTTCTTTTAGTTGTGTGATACAATAACTTTGTAATTTCACTTATTGATTATTCAAGTTATTCAATAATGTTTTGAGAGTTCCTCAGTTTTAATTTGTGTGATACAATTAAACACTTAAGTATGATACTTAAGACTTCTTGGATGTGATGCTTAAAACACCTTGGGTGTGATGTCTAAGTTGTTTTAATTCCCAAACCCTAATTGGACAAATCAAACCTATATGCCTTGTGATGACATCCCTTCTCTTTTACCTAAGGCGCTATAGAGGTTGTTGGGACCTAGGGCCTGTTGGAAAATTAACTTTATGTCACCTGTTTTTTAAGCGAGAGCATAGCATAATTATCACATGCCATGGACATAAAATATTCAGCTGAATGGATTTTTCTGTTTAGAATATACGTTAGCTGGTGCTACTAGTTGTTTATTTTCCTGATTGATTAAATATCCTGATGTCTGAGCATTGTTTCAAAGCTATTATATGGCATGGAGCATGCTTAATATTGTCTTAAAACCCATATTTACTCCTCTTGAGCTATCTAGAAAATCATGTGGAAGCTAAATAAGTCGATCGCGAAAGAGCTATTACCTATCCAACCTGTGGACTTTCCCATTGAGCCATGGTGGGGGAGTTTGTCTTGTCAACTTCACCATAGAAGAATTTAAGGTCAGCCACAGTCCCAAGCCTCCAGGTTTCTTTTGGCTTACTTCTTATGAATCAGTATTCATGTGAATAAACTTTTTAAGTGAGTCTAGTTAACTGGTATATTTCATTGATGTCAAGTATAATTTTTTGTCCCTCTACTGTAGAAACTCTCAGAGGAAGAAATGGCAACAATAGACAAGGTATGCAAGGAGGAAGCTAATGCGTATGTCCTGTTTGATCCTGACATCATAAAGGGTCTTTATCGACGGGGATTGATATATTTTGATGTCCCTGTCTATCCTGATGACCGCTTCAAAGGTAATTTGTTTGTTTCATAGTGTCCTGCTAAATTTTGTTAGTTGTGCTCTGGATAACACATCTATTCAGGATCCTCCTTCCACCTCATTATGGAAAGAAGATAAAAGGAACTATCTTTTTTTTTCATTATTTCATTTGACACCCACAGTGCATCTTAGGGAGTTGAATGTGCATTAAAACATGGAGTTTCTATATTGTGAAATAGATTTCCACATTTCTTATTTCTGGTTACAAGATATAACCTAAGATGGAACTTTTTTTCCTCGGATTATTTATGTTTTTTCAGTTTCAAGGCTTGAAGGGTTCATTTCCAACAGAGAGCAGACTTATGAAGATCCTATTGAGGAGTAAGGCAACTACTGTTACATCTGGATGCCTTGTTTTGCAATTTCAAGCTATTTGCTAGAAGTGAGATAAGGTCCTAATGTTAGCAATTTTATTGTTCAGGTTATTGTATGCAGTTTTTGTTGTTTCAAACGAAAATTCAACTGTTGCTGAACTGGCATCAACTTTACAAGCTGATCTTACTCAGTTACAGGCAGCTGCATCATTTGTTTGCCGATTGGGTTGGGCAGTGAAAGTAATTGATCCGTCGTCTGTTCTTCAGGATAAAAATATGCCTGGCTCTCCACGAGCCACCCTCAGTGATGAAGAAGATTCTAGTATGGGATCAAATGCATTTGCTGATGGTGATGCTGCTCAAAATGAGGATAATTTGGTGACTGAAAGCTATGGACCACATCCTGGCCAGGCTAGGGTTGCTTTTGTCGTTGATGCTAATATAACATCATATCTCATGATGGGATCCGTTTCACCAGGTTCATTTTTCTTTCCTCCTTGATTGTCTGCACGCCTTTCTGTTTATATTTTGAATATCAAATTAATAGGGATGCCAATAGGTCAGGTCAGGATAGGTTTCACGAAATCTGAACACGATCTGTCCGTGAATGAAAGAAACCTGAAGCTGGTCTGGATCAGCAATGGGTTCATAAAATGGCATTCCATTCGTACCTTGCGGATTTTAGGTTAAATCCGCCTTGCCTAGGATTTATCTCTTTTGGCCTCTGTTGATGGTGCCAATCATCATCATCATCAGTGGCGCTGATCTTTCTCTTCTCTCATTCTTATTTTTTTTTTGGGTAAAAAAGCTTCCCATGTAAGCTTTTCAAAAGCTTCCTTGGGAAGCATTAAACAGAGGTGGCTAGACTATATACACACCCAGGTACCAACGTCCAGTTATATATATATATATATGCACACATGTTAAGGTGGGCCAGGAGGTGGATTATGTATTTTTTTTTTTTAAATAAAAAGTGTAAAGTATGTATTAACAAGTTACCAAGAGGGTACTACCTGTATACAAAAGATTTACAAATGTGTTAGGATGTCAATAACATTATGAAAATCCTCATTCCTAATACTATCATGCCCCAATACGAAAGCTCCAAAATAATTGTACCATCTATCTCTCAACCTATAATTCCCAACCTCTTTACTTCCAAGAGTTCTTAGATTCCTCTCTTTTCAAATAACCCAAAAAGTAGCCAATTGTATTAATTTACATATTTTTCCTTAGTAATAGCCCACCCCATGCCCAGATCTTATCTTTTACAGACCCGGCCATCACCCAGTTGATTCCAATTAAACTGTAAATTATACACCACAATTCATAGACAACCAGACACCAAAGGAGGATGTGATTACATGATTCCGCTGCCTGCTTACACAAATAACACCTGTTAGTTAGTATATGACCTCTTGTCATCAGTTTATCTATGGTCAAAATGCTTTCTCTACTGGCCTCCCACGCAAAAAGAAGCAATTCTGGGTAGCACCTTCACTTTCCAGACCTGATAAACAGGAAACTTATATGTCTTGACAGACTCCTCACTAACGATATGCCAATAGAAGGATTTAACAGAGACATCCTTTCTGATTAAGCTTCCCCAGAAGTTGGTCCGGCTCAGTAGGGATCTGAATTTTGGAAAGAAGCTGCAGCAATTCTTCATATTCTCTCACTTCCCAATTGTTTAAGTTTCTGTTAACATTATCCATCCAGGCAGTACTCTCACTATCTCCAGCATATACTTACTCAATTATCAAGTTTCTGGAATGAGCAAAGCAAAGATACGTGGAAACCGATTCCCAGACAGTCCCCCTCCATCCATTCATCCAACCAAAATCTTATTTCATCACCTCTACCCAACTTCCATATAGTGCATTCTTTAAATCTAGGCCATCATATCACCACAAACAGACCCCATGACCCCTCCTCTGTCCGGCATCTCCCCACCTCTCCAAAACACCCCATCTCACCTCAATAATCCTCCTCCAAAGCCTTCCTTCTTCCTTCAAAAATGTCCACAAACATTTCCCTTGAAGAGCCGCATTCATTTCTACCAATGATCTAATACCCAAGCCTCCCTTTTTATAGGACTTTTTACCTTTGTCCCATTTCACCAAATGATATCTTTTTATCCTTTCCTCATCTCCCCAAAGAAACTGACATTATATGGCTTCCAATTTTCATGCAATTTTGACAGGGATCGTCAAAGTGGAAAGGAAGTATATAGTGAGTTTTGCTAGGTGCTTTTAATTAAAGTGTGCCTCCCACCCTTTGACAAAAGATTATTTTTCCAGCCCGCTAACCTTCTTTCAAACGTCTCGACCACAGGTTCCCAAGTTCTTTGATCTTTGAACTTTGCCCCAAGAGGAACACCGAGATATTTGATAGGCAAGTTGGCTGCTTGATACCCCATAACCCGAGCCAGCTCCTGTTCATCCCTTTTATCCCCAATTTTAACCATTTCAGTTTTATTAAGGTTGATGTGGAGTCCAGAAATACCCTCAAAACATAGGAGAATGCACCTTAGGTGAAGCAGATATTGTTTTTCTGGTTGGCAGAACAGCAAGGTCATCCGCGAAAAAGAGGTGAGAGACCTCAATACCATTGCCCACATAAACTCCTTGCAAGAGCTGAAGCTCTTTTGCTCTATTCATCAAATCATTTAGAGCTTCCATCACAACAATGGAAAGTAATGGGGTGAGTAAATCGCCCTGTCTAATTCCTCTAGAAGTAGTGAGAAATTTTGATGGGCCACCATTGATTAAAACAGCAAATGATGTGCAGGTCATGTAAGTGTGAATCCATGATCTCAATTTTTGTCCAAAACCCATTCTCCCCAACATATAATCTACAGAATCTCAACATACATGGTCATATGCCTTCTCTGTATCATGTTTACGCAACAAACCTTCTTTTTTCTGGACCACCAGGGCATCTACAATCTCTTTAGCTATTAGAATTGCATCTTGGATTTGTCTACCTCCTACAAATGCATGTTGACATTTTCCTATTGCCTCCCCCCTACACCCTAGAGAGTCTACTTGCCAACACCTTAACAATGAGCTGGTAGATGCAACCAATTAAGCTTATAGGGCGAAAATCTCTTATGTATTTAGCTCCCTTCTTCTTGGCGATGAGTATAAGGAAAGTTGAGTTCAATGATCTAACAAATTTATCATTTTCGTGCGTCTCTCTAAATACCTCCATGACATCATCCTTGATGATGTTCCAAAATTTGTGGAAGAACATGTTAAAACCATCTGGTTCCGGCGCCTTATCCCTATTGGAACTTTTCAAACACTCTAGCACCTCTTCCTCAGAGAAATCTGCTTCAATCATCTGTTTGCTAGCTTCGAAAATCCTCGCAAAATCCAAATCATCCAGTTTCGGTCTCACCCTAAACTCTTCCTCATAAAGCCTTGAAAAGTAAGCTCGGGCAGCTTCCCTCATGTTGTTGTTTCCCCAGTATCTTACCTCCTCCAGTCCCACAATTCATCAACATAATTGCTCCTCCTTCGGTGGCTGGCCAGAGCTTGGAAATATTTAGTATTTTTGGTCTCCCTCCTTCAACCATATCTCCCTAGATTTCTGTTTCCATTCCCTCTCCTCAATCTGTAATGAATTAGCTATTTTTAGCTTTAACTCATCCCTCCCAGCCTTCTCCTCCATTGTAAATCTGACCTGCCCACCCTTCATATCAAGATCCCCCAACTCCTTTCATCATTTTGTTAATCTCTTCACCTTTCCTCTTCCCTTTGTCCTTTGCCCAAGCCTTTATTTCATTTTTTAGGTACTTCAGTTTACAGGCCACTCTGAAACTAGCCTTCCCTTGAACATTATGGTTTTTCCATTTCTCTTCCACAAAGAGCCGAAACCTTTCATCCTCTAGCCAGTGATTATCCAACCTGAACGGAATAGGGCCCCACTGAATGCCATCCACTTCAAGGCAGATTGGGAAATGATCTGATATAGGCTTTTGGAGCAGTTTTTGGCAAACACCTGCAAGCTGCAAGAGGAAACTAGGTGAAATGAAATACATAAACTAGGAAACTAGGTGGATTATATATATACAGCTTCCATTATATATATATATACATACAGCTTATATGTATAGAAGCGTGTAGGGGAGAAGGGGGGTGGGTGGTGTATTCAGGTTAGAAGAAGTTTAAAGGAGGATGAAGAGGTAGAATTCTGTAATCTGCTTCGGTGGCTTGCTGCTTTTAAGGTGAGTAATGAGAATGACAAAAGAATTTGGAAACCGGACAAGAAAAAAGGCTTTTCAGTGAAGTCCTACTATAATCTTATTGCCAAAAATGGTGAGGAGAGTGCCAAGACAGCACCGTTTAAGCAAATTTGGAGGTCTAAAGTTTTGTGTAGAATGGCTTTTTTCATATGGGAAGCTGTCAAAGAAAAAATCTTGACCATTGATTTGTTGAGAAAGAGAGGAATGATAATAACCAATAGGTGTTACATATGCAAGGCTGAAGAAGAATCATGCAACCACTTGTTACTTCATTGTCCTATGGTCTACAAAATTTGGGAGTACGTGTATGAGATTATGGGAATGATGTGGGCTATGGCGGGTAGTGTTAGTAAGGAGTTGTGGGCGTGGGCTGGTTTATGTAATAAGAAAAAAGATTTATTCCTTATCCCACTTTCTTTTATTTGGGTGTTTTGGAGAGAGGAATACTAGAGATTTTGAGGATATTAAAACAGACATTGTAAATATTAGGGATAGATGGTTTTATACTTTTAGTTTTATTTTGATTGGTCATGACATAACTGATTGGGAAGATTTTGGGATTGTTATAGACTACCTGATCGACTGTTAATTTTGTAATTTTCAGGTGGTACCTCCTTGATACCTTTGTGCATAATAATACTATATCTCTTTTATTTTTAAAAAAGTATATATATAAAAGGGTGTAGGAGACGGCTTTATTGGGTATTTTTTAAATATCAATTATATGTTTTATATTTAATAATTAAAAAATTAAAATATATATTATACTACATATGGAGAGATAAAGAGGAGAAAAGTGGGTCAAAGTTCGGACATGGTTTGTTACCTTCAAACTCATCCCACCCTGGTATGATAAAACTAGAACCCACCCCGAGCAGACATGTGTCAGTTTGGTTTTGATTAAAATCTGGGATGGATATGAGCTGGTTGGTTCGGTTTTGATGGGTCGCAGATGTTTTGCCGCCTCTACAAATCAATATGTTCTAATTTGAATATACTTTGTTTTAGAAAAAGAAAATTCAAAGCATGCCTGGTGTGGAGTAGATTTAGTTACTTTCATTTTCTAATAGATTAAAAATTGTATTTATTCCAAATATAGTTTTTGTTGTCCAAATATGAAATTTATTACATGTTGCAAAAAGAGGATCCTGTGTGGAAGACTTAATATCGTTGACTGCATAATCTGTTTGCCTCTTGGTTTTTTTCTTTGTGTTTAGTGATGTAACGGCCCCGTAAATTTAAAGAAAATGTATGTATTAAAAATTTTAAGTACGGAAGCGAAATAAAAATTCTGATTAATATCTCTTACACAATAACTAAAACGTATTAAATGTATGAAAGAATAAACTAATTGAAGTTAACACTAGTAATGAATGCTATAAATAAATCTATCAAATCCTTAGTCATTTACTCGCCGTCTTCCTGCGGGACGGGTTCGGGAACCAAGTCATCCTGATCTGAAATGGTTAAGTAAGGAATGAGCTACACTAGCCCATTAAAGACATCACACGATCTCACTACCACAGGAGAAAATGTTTGTAGAAAACAAAAACGACCATTGGAGCATAATTTATAGCAAACTCATTTATCAATAGTAATAAAAACCTTTACTGTCCACTTACGTCGGTGAGATTCATGAAAACAATTACATCATAAATATCATAAAATCATGTACACTTTGTAACATAACACATATCAAACTCGCGTTTTTCAATCATCAGACAACAATTTTCCTCTTTTATCAGCCTACTAGTATCCATGTGGATCCATAGGGGTCTCCGCCACACGTGAACCATTCACATTAATAACTTGATTCCGGGGCCGTCCCCATACCCCGTCCGGTATGGGCGCCAAAAACATAAACCTCAATACCCCGTCCGGTATGAGGGTGAAACGGGCAATCCCCATACCCCGTCCGGTATGGGCGTCAAAACACATAAGGTCTTCATACCCCGTCTGATATGAGAGACCACGTTCCCGGTAGGGTTCCCTACGGACCCGATCCGTCCACCATCTCCCAAGATATCTAGTGAAGCTGTAGACATTATCCATTATCAATTCACATACCTTTTTACTATTTTTCTTAATCTCAATTGTCCAGTCAAATACAAAATACGTAAACCAGTAATGAACACCAAACAAGGCAACAAAACATCGGGTTCACAATAATTCAAAGCATAATAAATGAAACCGTGATTCATGCATATGAAATCATAAAATAAACACATCAGGTACCCTACTGCATTTAAAACTGTAAAATAGATCAAATAACAACTGACCGCCAAATACACCAGATTCGGGCTCCATTAGCAACCTTAAGCAATTATACATATCTATTAATTCATGAAATACCGTTTTATCATTTATTGAGCTTTAATACCGTGATAGGAAATAGGGTGAGAGATCCTTACTTGTTTCGGGGTCTGAAATCGGGTTCTCACTGCGCATACGGGCTGTCCCTAAATTCCCTGAATTTTTTCTCGGGAAACTGACATACTTCCGGTACCTGCACGTGTCCCAAAAAACCCCAAATCAGACCCAGGGCCCTTTCGGCCAATATCAGAATTCTGGCACGGCGGCGATCCGCCTCGGGCTGGCCCTTTCTGGCCGAATTTGGCCAAACTCGCATCAATTCTTGCGATAAAACAACCCTAGGGCCCTCGATGGACCAAAAAATCACGAAAAACCGAGACTTACTGGCGGCGGAGCTCTCGGGTGCGGCGGCTTCTCCGGCGCGAGTCGCGATTCGATGTTTTGCTCCGGTCAACCTGTAGAGAAAAGGATGGTGATCACAGTGGTGTAAAAATTTCATCGAACGGGAACCGGAAAGGGCCTCATCGGAGGCAAAAACCGAGGGAAGCCGCGGCGGCACCGCTGGACTTC